TTCTGTGTTGAAACCAGTCAGTTAGTCAGTCATTCAGGACCATGTGTTTTTTCCTGTGCTAGGATGATGAGTGCGCACTGACAAAGAGTCCCAAACTAGGGAGAAACACCTCTAGTTTCCAGTTATTCTCTAAATGATATCGCTTCGTGACGAAATCTATTTTTTTTTTCACCATTCCTTCACTCTTATGATCCTATTGGCTTGTAAAGTGTAAAGTGGCATAATAAGGTGAGCAACATTGAGGTTAGGCGTAGAGTTCTAGGTAAACAGGGGAAATCAATCGACGAAGTCGTGAAGCTACAAAGACTGAGATGGTTAGGACATGTGTTACGTATGCCAAGCCATCGCCTCCCTCGACGAGCGATGTTAGCGGATAGAGGGTCAGGCTGGAAAAAAGTTAGCGGCGGTCAAACAAAAACATGGCACCAGTCAATGAAATCCACAGCAGTTGGTCTTAGCCACGTAGGAAGGTGTAGACTTCCAGGCTGGGGTCCTCGGGACGGTAAAAATCTATGGTTGGAAACAATTGGTGACATGGCTCAAAATCGTTCTCAGTGGCGCAGATGCATCCACTCCCTGTGACTTATGATCTTCAATGGAACTGTTTTGTATTTCTTTATTACTCCTTTGTCTCACACCTCTGCTCACTGTTTCTATTATGTTTTTCTTGTACTTTCTTCTCTTGCTTCGCGTGCTACACGGAATGTGGCGACTTGAACTTCCGCACATTTGTGCAAAGTTCTATGTCGAAAACAAACAGACAGACAGATTGGCTTGTAATGATGTCGTCGCATTGACTTAATATTTAACCTTTTGGTCGAATTATTTTTTATTTTATTATTTATTGTTGATTGATAAATTTAATCGAAATTAGGTTGCAGATTGATCTGGCTAGCAATCATGTATAAATTTCATAGCTGTCTTAGGATTCATATCACTTCCGCCTCCGAATTTCCAGTCCAGTGCTTTACCATCTAAGGGTACAATAGCCAACCAGCCAACTAGATCGCCATTTTGCACAATTTTGTCTTAAAGACTTGTCGGCCACCGATAACTGTTTTTAACCCACCTTTTATATCAATATATGTGGTTATAAACTTTATTTTTCAGAGATAATAATAGTTTATTAATTGAAACAAATTGTTGTATTTCCTGAGGTTTTCCAGTGCTTTTCTAACTGATGTCAGCTCATGATGAACTCCTGCATCCGATCAAATAAAATCCCCTACAAAACCGATATTGGAAAATTGATATGATGCCCATTGGCGACTGGCTCTATCCACGAAGTGACCAGTGGTTCTAATGGGAAGCCGTGACCAATAGGGTACAAACAGCAGGTTGGAAGTGAGGCAGTAATTCATCGAAGAAGAAGAAGACATTGAGAAGTGGTCACGCTATATCGTGAATTGGTAGAAGTTAGAATTTAACGGCTGGCCACTTGATTGGATCCCAATGGCTTAATGAATGCTCTATGGGCTCGCTAGTCTTGCCACCGGAAGGCCCTGGGTTCGAATCCAGGCGGGGTGGGTGTTATGTACTCGTCGAGTAGTTAATAGTCCTGACGCGGAAAGAGGGAAATCAGAAGACGACCACCAGGTTTACGATGATACTTGTATTTTTGAGACAAGGAAAATAAATGTCGCACAAGAGTGTGAGTGAATGGTACTTAGATGTACGAAATGTGTGTGAACCAGAATAATGTACAAGTGTCTAATACAAAAGTATATATGAAAATGGCTAATACACATGAACCAATAAGATAACGTCTTACCATGATTGGTTGTAATGTCATGTGATAACAAGGTCATACATTGTTTACTTAGTTAGTGGACAGACAAAAGCATATTGTCAGTTATAATGAAATATCAATCCATATACGCATAGCCAAATATAATAGACTGTCAAAAATAAACACACACATCATGTGGATACATATCAGTGGGTGCGAACTGTGAAGAATCCCAAACTGGGTCGACGAAACAGCTATCCAGTACTTCCAGATTTTCCAATGGTTCTCTAACTGATGTCAGCTCCTGATGAAAGCGTCCAACCAATCGAACTAAATCCCTACTAAACCAATACTTGAAGATTATAGTATTATTATTGGTTTGGGTTCCAAGTGGAACACAGGGCTTCAAAATAGCACATCTGCATTTCACTCTGTTCTCTGCCGGCATCTTTTTTATCTGACTCCGTGATTACCTGCAAGCTTACTTCTGCTTCTCATATGATCTCCATTGTATCTCCCTTTGACCCTTATTCAACTCGTCTTTTTATGTTTGAGTTCCACTCTGGGACCTGGTGTGTGGTGGTGTCATTCAACGGTCGCCTTAGTAATCTGTCCAGTCCATCTCCATTTCGTAATAGGTTCTTGGTTGTTTCTCCGAGAGAGTTCTTTGTCGTTTCTTATCCTTTTTGGCCAGCTGGCCATCTGATCCTCACTATGGAGATCAAGGGAGCAATTGTTAACGGGAGTTTGCAACATCCTGTTGAAAATATTTTTGTTGACTATATAGTAGAACTTTGCAATGAATCAGTGTTGTATGATATACTATCTCTTTTGTGTTTTACTGTCCAACAGTTGAATGGATTAGATCCAGTCTCTATTTGTGCGTAAAATCGATTGTTAAGGATAAGTTCTGTATACCATTTCAATTTAATTATTTACCATCTTCTATGGGAAGCAACGAGTTGCGTGTCCAAGAGTGGTGATAAGGAGGAAATCATGTATAGCCATGTGTGCGTCGATGGCACAGTGGTTAGGACTCTCGCCGACCATGCACATGGTCCGGGGTTCGAGCCCACGCCGACGCACACCTGATATCTATGGCTGGCCTGCGAATTTTGGGCTACCGATATCCACGCTGAAAATTCCACACTTGTACCAAAAATACAGTGTGGAATCAAGCTGTAACCAAAAAAAAGAAAGCTCATAGGTGGTTGTTACTCATATTAAAACATAAATTCGATATATTACAGGCATCAAGAGATATACTGCACAAGATCTTGTGGTTTATGCAAGCAAGGGCTTGGGACAATTACTGCCAAGACGTCCAGACCTAGGCGGGTGGTTGGTTTTTATGTGTGTGCCACTCTCTTTGGAGCTTTTCATTTGAAGTTTAATCCGAAGACCAAAATATCATTTACACTATTATATTGAATAGCTAGAGAACCACTGAAAACCAGGGAGTACTGAGAACAGCTGTTTCATCCTAGTTTTGGAAATCATCGACAGTATGCACCCACTGGGATCCCAACCCAGGTCATAAGGCGGATTATTCCCAAAACTAGGATGAAACCGGTGTCCAGTACTCCTTGTGGCTGGTTTTCACTAGTTCTCTAACTCTGATATCAATAATCCGTGATGAACTTGTAAAAAACAAAATTAACACCCTTACAACAAACCAAACCATAGAAATTAATCTGATGCTCTCTAGCGACTTGCTACAGGACGGATGAAGTTTCCTAGAGTTCTAGTGAGAAGTCGTGACCAATGAGGTCCATCCAGATGTCATGTGTGAGGATAGATTTCCCACCGATGACATTGGTTGGTGCCAGTCGCGCTAAATCACGAATTGGTAGAAGTTTATTTACTTATTATTTTTTTTAAATTTTTGATTACAGCTTGATTCCACACCGTATTTTTGGGACAAGCGTGGATATCGGTAGCCCGAAATTCGCAGGTTGACCATATATATCAGGTGTGCGTCGGCGTGGGCTCGAACTCCCTGAGCATGTGCATGCTCGGCGAGAGTCCTAACCACTGTGTCACCGACTATCGACCAAAGGGCGGGTGTACTGTTCATCAGTCCGCCTTGTCCTCCTTTGTGGTTGTGAGACCTGGCCACTCAGAGTGGAAGACATGAAAAGACTGGCTGTCTTTGATCATAGGTGCCTGCGCTCTATTTCCCGTGTAAAGTGGCGTAATAAGGTGAGCAACATGGAGGTTAGGCGTCGAGTTCTAGGTAAACAGGGGAAATCAATTGACGAAGTCGTGAAGTTACAAAGACTGAGATGGTTAGGACATATGTTACGTGTGCCAAGCCACCGCCTCCCTCGACAATGGGCAATGTTAGCGGATATAGGGTCAGGCTGGAAAAAAGCTAGCGGCGGTCAAACAAAAACTTGGCATCAGTCAATGAAATCCACAACAGTTGGTCTAAGCCACGTAGAAAGGTGTAGACTTCCAGGCTGGGGTCCTCGGGACGGTAAAAATCAATGGTTGGAAACAATTGGTGACGTGGCTCAAAATCGTTCTCAGTGGCCAGCGCAGATGCATCCACTCCCTGTGACTTATGATCTTCAATGAAACTGTTTTGTTTTTCTTTATTACTCCTTTGTCTCACACCTCTACTCACTGTTTCTATTATGCTTTTCTTGTACTTTCTTCTCTTGCTTCGCGTGCTACACGGAGTGTAGCGACTTGAACTTCCGCACATTTGTGCAAAGTTCTATGTCGAAAACATACAGACAGACTGTGTCACCGACGCACAGTGGTGGACTGACCATTGAATCGGGTCCTACTAGCTGAATGGCATATGAGCTTGACTTGTAACCAGGAGATCCTGGGTTCGAACCCCGTGATGTAGGTGCGTACTGCCGATATTTTGCAATCTAGGATGAAACAGCTGTCCAGTACTCCCTGTGGCTGGTTTTCAATGGTTCTCTAACTCTGATATCAATAATCCGTGATGAACTTGTAAAAAACAAAATTAACCCTTACAACAAACCAAACTATAGAAAATATCTATTAACATTTTTGAGTCCGTGTACACCATCGGTCTGGAATTAAGGTTTTCCAGCTCCCCTAGGTTAGGTATGCGCGCATATCCCCAGGCTAGACGTTCACATTGTCTCTTTTACTATTTGTGAGGAGTGACTTAGGCCCTACTTTCCATTTAGGTTGGGATCCAAGTGTATAGGTATAATATATATGGTATAATAGGAGTAATAGAAGTGTGTGCATTATTTCCTTCTTATCTAATTTCTTTTTATTTTAGACATTGTGTTTATCAAGTTATCTATCTTAGTTGTATTATTATTGGTCATTACATATTGATTATCGATGTTATCACTGTGCTGTATCGGTATTCGTGGTTAGAAAATAATATATTCCTCGGGACTGGATGTTTATTTTTCAATGGATTATTATATATGCTATTGTGTTTTAGTGATCCAGGTTAGTAGTTAGTTATTCAGCATTGCTATATGAAGTGTGGTATTTATTTATTTATTTTTTTGTCTTTGGTATTGATGACTTATTGTGGTGTGAACTCTACTCCAGCTATAGGTATATTATATTATGCATACCGCAAAGAAACATCCGATGAAATAAAGCGATTCCTTAACGATCATAGCATAACATAAGAGTGTATTCTCGTGCAACTAACACACCTTACGCTCCTCATCACTGGTGAAGAAGGTTAAGGATAAAATAGAAGAAGAAAAAAGCCAACAGAATTGCGTATACCAGATCAATTGTGAGGATTGTAATGCAGTATATGTAGGAGAAACTTCCCGACAGGTAAATATAAGCGTGAAAGAGCATAAACAATATCTAAAGGTGGTTCCTTCGAGAGGACCTCTGCCGACTTGAAGAAGCTAGAAAACAGATCAGCTATTTCAATGCATTAGATAGAAACGGGACACAAAATCGATTTTGATAGGACTAGGGTTCTACAGAAAGGTATAAAAAAAAACTGACTGCGGAAGCCTTACATATATGGGTGAATCCCAACAGTTTGAACAGACGTGAAGGTGTGGTGTGATGTTAGCTGCCATGCATGGCAAATCCTGACTAATAAATAAAATTGGATATTGTATCACTAATTAATAATACTTGGTCAAAATTCCTGATTGTCTACATTTTCTTATGGAGAGGCTAACAAATGTTTTATGGCTGTTCACCCGCACACACAAATACACAAACCTTTGCATACTGCATATACACGCATATATTTTAACAAAAGTAGACTGATTCATATGAACTGTGATCAAGATTTGATCGGATAGTTGCAAAATAATTGAGCGCCGAGTGAGAAGTAGACATTTGTAAAAAAAACGTTATATTTGTAAAATCTCAGCGAAATTGAAATGACTAATTCCAACGTTTTGCTGTGTTCGGCAGTCTGGTCCGAACTTCTTCAGGGAAGTTAATCGAACGAAACGTTGCAATTAATCATTTCAATTTAGCTGAGATTTTACAAAAGTGCGTCGGTGGTGAGGACTCTCGCCGACCATGCACATGTTCCGAGGTTCGATCCCCTGCCGACGCACACCTGATATCTACGGTCGGCCTGCAAAATTTAGGCAGCCGATATCCATGCTGAAAATTCTATACTTGTACCAGAAATACAGTGTGGAATCAAGCTGTAATCAAAAATATAAAAAAAAGTTTTTCATAAATGTCTACTTCTCACTCGGCGTTCAATTATTTTGCAACTATTCGGTCAAATCTTGATCACAGTTCATATGCTATACTATGCATACTGATGGAACTGGTTCCGTTCCCATTTAAATTGAATTTATACACGTATAGACAACTTCTTGTACTAGTCAGTCTACTAGATGTGAGCAGTACTCATTTAACTTCATATTATTTCGTTTATTAAATATATATGGAGGCGAGTGCTACTGATAAGATTTATAAGTAGCATATACATAAAGAGAGATGTTTATCAGCATAAAAACATCAAATAGCAAGGAGGCACATTTTATGTCGGAGAAGGCAAATGATACAGCTTTGTGGAGATACATGGGAGACGACATGAAAGCGACACAAAATAACACAACATAAAGTCTAGAGGTACCACAACACAAAGATCTGTACAAATGTGGTGCGTTGAGGATAAGGTGTGTACATACTTTCAAAATAAAGATTTCTTTGCCAAGTCTTTCGCCTTCTACCGTTTCAACATGACGTAACAGGACTCGACAACTTCCGTCCGGTGCTCTGATGAGTATCAATATGAAGAAACTCACCTGGACACGGGTAATAGCAGAAACCAAAATATGAGTTACATGTGGCAGACGCCTCCACATGGTGACCTCCGAGGAGGATTCGGGATGCTGGACTAAGAGCTAAGAGCTGCCGCAAGTATGAAGAACATTCGCATCTGGCTACACAGCTCAAATATACATCGCTGGGAAATATCTTAGACTCAATGTGGAAAACGGAGATCCGGAAGACCGAGATCACTGGTAGTTTGGAAGAAGCGGCTAGGGCTGTGTTTTTAACTTGTGACTCACGATTAGTGGATTTCCGTGGATGGCTTGGTAGCCCTATCACGGATTACTGGAAGGGAATTCGACATGGTGACCAGTTAAAAGCGGTATTTTATGCAGTGGGAAGTGGATTGGCGTTCGAAATCTTGTTTCCATGAGGCAGGATAGACTGTGTCTAGTGCGTATGAGGTGTTCCTGATCTGGGTTTGCTGGCACATATGTTCATAGTTTGTTGTGAGATGTGAGAAGCAACGTCTCAGTGAGTTTTTCTGGGACTGTATGAGTTTCGGGAGCACTTTGCACAATAATACACGTTAAATACAAATAGAAAGTAAATAGATACACAATCTACCCTGTCCAACTGATGTTGATGACATTGGCAGTAAATATTCAGATGATGCGGGTAAAACTCATTTAGTTGGGGGGGATTTCATCATGAGCTGACGTCAGTTAGAGGACCACTGGAACAATAGCTTGGAGTACTAGAAAGCTGTTTTGTCAGTCCAGTTTAGAACTTTTCATCAGTACGCACCCACACTGTGGTGTTTGAACCTATTGGACCATTGGATGGAGTCCTAGTGGCTTAATGGTCTACGAGCTCGCTCGGCGGGTGCGTACCGATGGAGAGTCCCAAACTAGCTTGACGAAACAGCTGTCCAGTACTCCCTGTGGCTGGTTTTCCAATGAAATCTTGCTATCAATTAAACTAAATCCGTACAAATACCAATACTCAAAAGCTCATTTAGGTAGGAGAGGGGTAGCCTTTTGAATTCTCCCACTGATGGCGATTGCGTATATGATTATGAACAATACAGATTGTATTCGAAATATCATCCACAAAGTATAAGTGTTTCTGAGTGTTTGATGGAAGTATATATGTATATAAAATAAACGAAGTTCTTATAGAGATTGATAGCACTACCGGGGGTGTTAAATAAACTTTGTGAAGTACACTGATGATTTGACAGTTTCAATGGCTGTTAACTCCCAGCTAGATTTTGTCAAAACAAATAGCTTTCTGTCGGGAGTCAGTAAATAAATGGTTTGAATCTAACGGTTTTAAACTGAATCCTTCTAAAGGTCAAACGTTTAATTTCAGCTTAAGATGTAAAAGACAGTTAAAAGAAGTCATCGATTCTCATGACAGTTTTAAAATTGACGACAATGATATAGGAATTAAATCAGAAATTAAGTATCTTGGACTTATTCTCTCTTCTGATCTCTTCTGGTCTTCCCATGTCTTAGCGATCTCCAGTAAAATATTCTGCCTGACATTTTACATTAAGAAGTTAAGACACTCGGGTATAACTCAACCCCTCCTCTTACAGTTCATAAACTCTTGCATCCTACCTATTCTTCTTTATTGTTCACCCTTGGTTATTCTTTCCTGGTTTGCTTAAAAGGGACTATGTCACAATTCTTAGAATGCTGAAGACTGTCAGTAGGGTGAGTGGTGTCCCAGTGGACCACATAGTTAACGTCATTGTTGATAGGCACTTTGACTTTGTGCAATAAATTTGCTAGAGGGATTTTTTCTAACTTGGAGCATCCACTTTACCCTCAGCATTCACCTTGCATCTCCGCCTCAGGTAGAACAAGAAGTAACTTCAGAAAACTGTATGCTTGCACGTCTAAGTATAGAAATTCTATGATACCATACTTGGCACGTATTTTGTGTGATGAAAATAGTGTCAGGCGACAATTAGCTAACCTTTTTTCATCTAGTAAATAAACAATTTCCTCCATCCATCCTTATATACCTTCAAGTTTTACTTTTATTACTTCTATTATATTTATGGTCCTGTTGCTTCTTTGTTTTACTCTCATAATTGCAAACACCAACTGATCTCTATGCCTCCAAAGCCTCAGGATGGTCGGGGGTGGGTGTCTTGCGCTGCGGGTTGGCCACCACTCCGTACACCTCTTGAAATGCTCCCATATAACCAGGCGTCTTACATAGCCTCTCCTGAGGAAGTCCTACTCACTGCCTTCACGTGGCGGAGGTGTTTTTCACCAAAGTGAGAGGGCAAAAGCGGATGCCCAGCGCTCTTCACCGGGTTGACTGTCCATTGGTTGACAGTCTAGGGCAGATGGCTAAACCCTGATTCCAAACCTCCAACGACTGGCGTATGAAACTCACCGGAGCTCACCGGCAGACGTATGGACAAAGGGCTTATTGGATGCCCTGGATGACTGGCCCCATTCAAAAAGGCGAATGAACCGGACTCCGGTCACCGGCTGCCAATGGATAGTGGACTCCCTACTCCACTCCTACTGCCTTGTAGGTCACACTTGGTTGTGTAAAGGCTAGAGCTGCACTCTCAAACAAAGGCCAAGCGATTCTGGGGACATCACTCGTACCCAATTCCCATGAAACTTCATGGTTCATGAAGCCGGCTCATCCTCCCGTAGGAGATAGCCGAAGTAAAGTAAAAGTAAGTAAGATCTCTATTGATTGCTGTAGTCTTTGTTTTTCCCCTCACCATCATCATCATGTAAAGAGAACATTATATATTCAATATTTTTAAACATACTAGGATTTCTATAATGCATTGACAACACTGTGTGTAAAAAGCCCACGGGAATTTTTCCCTTGTATTATTATTATTATTACCTTAGCTGTTATCATTATTATTATTATTATTTTCATTTTATATGCTGCATGTTTTTGACATTACCTCTATTGTAAATGTGGATGATTTTCTGTGTGATTAATTTTTATTTATAATTTGAGGATTTTAGATGTAATATTGTGTGTGATTAATGCTGAAAATTCCATTCTGTATCACAAGTACTGTTTTTGGAATAAAGTAAATTATTATTATTATTATTACAAGTTTACTCATACATATATTATTGATTTTTCTGTTTTTATAACCCTTTTCTGTAATGTAGGCTTTATTAATTCACGAAATAAATCTGTGTATGCGCATATTTATGAATATGATAATTTTATCTACACGCCTAAACAATGCACTGTCTGCTGTCATCTAGTTCCGGCTAGAGCAAAACATTGTTGTAAGTTTATGTAGGTATATGCATTGATTTGGTTTTGTTTTACACATCTTTGTTGCATTGTATTAATGCTTATTACTCCTTACAGAGTCGTTTGAAGTGGTATAATATGGTGAGGAATATTGAGTTTAAGCATTGTTCGAGTGCTTGGTAGGTGGGAGAGGGTAAACCGATCGACGAGGCTGTAAAGTTACATCGATTGAGTTGGTTAGGACATGTGTTACGTATGCTTAGTCATCGCCTTCCTTGACTGAAAGGCAATGTTAACTGACATAGGATAATGGATCAGGTTGGTAAAGATCTAGCCAGTGGCGGTCAAACCAAAACATGGCTTCATTAGTCAATGAAATCTACAACAGTTAGTTAAAGACACTCAAGTAGGGAGGTGTAGACTTCCTGACTGGTTAGGGTCCTTGGGACGGTAAAAACTAATGGTTGGAAACAAGTTGGTGATATGGCTCAAACTCATCATTCTCCGTGATGGCTAGTGCAAATTCATCCACTCCTTGTGACTTATGATTTCAAATGAAACTATATTGTTCTTCGTTATTACTATTCCTTTTGTCTCATTTGCCTGTCTACTGTCTCTATTATGCATTTCTTCTGCTTTCTTCTGTTGTTTTGTGTGCTAAACGGAGGGAGTGTGGCGACTTGAAGTGCTGCATATATTGGAGCAAAGTTCTATGTTGAAAATAGACAGACAGACAGACCTTACAGAGTTGGTGATTCAGTGGCAGATATCCGCCAATCTTGCCTCAAGTGGTTCAGGATTCGATTCTCAGCTGATGCACTGTTAAAACTTAGTTTAGTTGAAAGTCTATTGGCGAAGTCTTACTTCTGGGTGATTGCAATGTATTGGCAGAATGATTTTTCCCTCAGATGGCCAATATGTCAGGTGTGCTACTTCTTCTCACTAGGGGATGGGATTAGAAAGGGTCGACCCTGAAAATTGTTCATCCAGACTCATGTCGCGACAGTCCTCAGTGGGCGGTAAGATAATATAATACCGGTAAAACTCCTAAAATCACTTCAGTCTGACCGTGTATGACTGGTTTCAAGCATTTGTTGCTGAGGCTCTGTGGTTAAGCAACAATAATGGTCTTTCTGTCTCAGGTACCCTAAGAAGAAATTGACCTCCATAGTTTGGGTGGCTGGAAATTAATAACTGCCCACACACTTTCAGAAGAACACAAAGCTAAATCAGTCAGTCTGTAATAATTGAAGATGAAATGAAAATCTGAGTGGCGGTGAGATCTCAACCAGCCATGGACTCAACTTCAGCTGAGAGCTGATTACTAACATGGTTATGGGTGTAACTTCTATCGCCTTATCGAGTGAAGTTTCCAACTAACAGATCTCCTTTGATGATTACTGTTCACATCACTGATATTCTTTGAATAAGATAAAATATACAGTAAAATCTGATGGAGATTGACTTTGTTCGATTCAACACTCAAAGAGTAAACTATTTTTCAAGAGAATTCTTCAACGAATATGAAGAGTATGGCTCAATAAAAAAAGGTTGATCTATTGAAAAACAATCTTTATACGGGTAGTACACTAACTTCAAGGGTTGGATACCTCTAGGTAGAAACTAAAACCTTATCTGTTGTCTATGCTCCGGAATTCTGAAAATCCGCTGTGATGATATGATCGGTTATTATTATTCGCTTGGGTTCCGGGTGCGAACATAGGGCTAGCTTCACACAACACATCTCCACTTTGTTCTGTTTTCTCTTGCCCGTAATCTTTCATCTCTTTCTCGCCACACGATCTCCTCCATATCACTCTCACACTGATGACCCACTCGTTGCCTACCATTTAGATTTCACTCAAGCGATGGCCTGCCTGGCGCGCGATGTCGTTCAACAGCTTCCTCAATGTATGCCCGATCCACCCATCTCCATTTTCTCCTACGTATTTGTTGAATGATCGACTCTCGCCTGTTGGTTTATTCCCAGGTAAAGTTTCTTGTTGCTATTTCTTTCTTTTTGGCTGGCTGGCTGGCCATTTGGTCTTTAGTTTGAAGCCAGCAAAAGCTTGAAACTTCAAGCTTCCAACTGGTATGAAAGAGAAGTATGGGATATGTATGGTGTGTTTTTCTATGATCATCCTGATCTCCGTCGGATCCTTACCGATTATGGATTTCAAGGTCATCCACAACGAAAAGACTTCCCACTGAGTGGATTCACTGAGATGAGGTATGATGAAGAGTACAAACGCATAGTTATTGAACCTGTTGAACTAGCTCAGGAATTCAGAAGATTTGAGTTCAACACCCCTTGGGAAACTTTTCCGGCTTTTCGAGATCCTGGGTCACACGATAAGAATTTACTTGAATCAGCCAAAACAGAAAACTTACCTGGCGCCGGGTTCAGGGTGATCAAGAATGCTCTGACCCCGGGTGGAGGCTCACCATTGCACCTCGGTGGGTTGAAACTCGCGACGGACCCTAATCGGATGCGCTCGGGCGTGTAGTTTTTGTCACCTTACCCTTAAAGGAGGACCAATGTCACATTTGTGTTGAAAATCTGAATCTTGTTCTTTTAATGCTGGTTGAGTCAGTGCAGAAGATTCCCTTCAAACTGATTTCAGGTTGATGTGAAGTCGCGCATATATCTTGCCTTTCCGATTCTGGCTGGCTTCGATATCTTCATCCATTCCGCCAGCTGTGATTGAAATGATACTTCATAGATAAGTGAAGGAGGTATCCTCTGTTAAATCTCTTCGTTTGATGGTGATTGGTGCTGGTTCCCCGGTTCGTTGGTTATCTTCATCACCTCCGTCTTCTCAATGTTCACCTGGAGTCCTGTCTTCGCCGACTGCTTCCACACAGCCAGTTTATTGAGTTTCGCCTGTCTGTAAGTAAGTCTTCGAGTTTGTGTGACACTAGACACATATATCATCCACGTGAGAAATTCAGATCTTCTAGAGTCTTCTTATTGGTCAGTGCAGAGTATCCCAACGCACAGTCTGACGCATAATCCAGTCCACCACCACCACCACCACCACCACAATTAAGAGTATCATCAGTGATAATAGGGAGCCTGTTTTGTTTTACTCATGTATTCACTTTGAGCACCTTGCTGAGTTTCCCTTAGTGGATAACCTGACACGTGGCATTGTCATATAGCCAGCCAGCTGTTGAATGAGGTTGATAAAAAAACTGATCGATAGAGATATATATATGAGGGAGGAAGTCTCTCCTAATCATCATCAAATCATAATTAGAAGAAGAAGAAGAAGACACTCATTTTAAGTTTGGCATTCAAAGATGACATTGAAAGTTATTTATCCAAATGGCATTAGACACTGTTTTTATACCGCTAGCTTACACTTGGTATTCTACAGTCGATGTTGATGTGTACTTCAACAGTGGACATATACAGAAACACCTCGGGTAGAGTGAGGGCATACAACCAATTATCATCACTGTTCCCAACCAACAATGGGGTTAAACAGGGTTGCCCAATCTCTCCACTTCTCTTTAACTTTGCCATCGATGACATTCTGAAGTCAGCTCTGAAGGATTTGCGTGAAGATGGTGTAGATCTGCTACCTGGAGATAGACTTCTTGACCTCGAGTATGCAGACGATATCGTCTTACTGTGCGATAGTATTATACAGGCTGCCCAAATCGCACTTCATCAGTTGGCGATCAGTGTCTGTAAGTATGGTGTGTGCTTTGAGCCGTCTAAGTGCAAAGTACTGTTAGAAGATTGGCAGGAGCCTGTACCTGCACTCACTCTTGAGGGTGAACCGCTTGAAGTTGTTGATAAGTGTGTGTATCTGGGTAGTTGTGTGAATGCTGGCGGGGAGGGGTGACAGATGAGATTTCCAACCGTATAATGAAGGCTAGGGTGGCATACATCAACTTGAGCCACCTATGGCGCCCTCGCGACGTTAGCCTGGCTGTCGAAGGTCGAGTTTACAGTGCTTCGGTGCGGGCTGTCTTGCTCTACGCTAGGCTTGTGAAACCTGGCCTCTCCGAGTTGAAGATGTGCGGCGACTTTGCAAGTTCGATCATCGCTGTCTCCGCAGGATTGCTTGCTTTCGATGGATGGCATCATCGCGTGAGTAATCCTGAGGTTCGGTGACGTGTGTTTGAACATAGTAGAGATCACCATTCATTGAGTGTCGGTGCTCCGAATGTCATCCCAGAGGAGGCTTCCGTACATGTCTGTGTTCGCTAGCCATCCCTGGGACGAGATGGAAAAGGAGGAGGGGTGGTCACTCCATGACGTGGCGTGGCGTCGTGGGATGAAGGATGTTTGTGTAGTAGATTAGCATCGGTTGGTGTATCACGACTCCCTGGTTGGGGTCCGCGAGATAGCTCGAGTCGATGGCTCGAAACGTTATCGGATATGGCCAAGAATCGCAAACATCAATGGTGAACGTGTTGGAATTTCCTTCTTTCTTCCCTTCCCGATGATAGTTGACGAATAGTGTTTGGACTTGTTAAGCATGACTGTATTCCTTCCAGATGAAGTTCTTTATCCGTTCTCTACTTATTTTTTTTTTACTTTTGACCTATGTTGTTTTATTATTATTGTGTGGCTCATCTTTCTTGGTGCCATATTGTACCAATAATAATAAATAATAATAATAACTTGGACAATGCGTGATGGATGTATGTATCTTTGTACACATCTACTCTTTCACATGCCACTTAACACCTTTCTCGTTTATATAAATACGACTAGTTGTTGGGAGGAAAGAGATATTTCTTTTCTGAGCAAAACTTTGTTTTTTTCCCTATTAACGAATAATTGAGTATATCTATATATAAATATCATGATTTGAAAAACGTCAGAAATTATGAGTTTCGACACATACATTCCAACTTACTCATTATTTGTTGTTAGATAGTTGAAGACAGTCGACAGGAATTCTTTGACCGAGGTTTTGTGCTTTTTGATACTCATGGAGGAACTGACGTCTCTTATGAAGATTCATACTCGTGTCATCCAATGCTACTGTCGGAGACGTTGTCAATGAGTTCAAGTAGGCTCAGTGAACTTGTAGCACGACAATTAGCACGAAGCCTATGGGTCAAGCGTCTCTTATCGAATATCGCGTACCTTTTAACAAGCTATGGTGATTATATTAGATGGTTCGAGGCAATCGGCCACGGGAAATCCCACCTGACCTAACTTTTGCTGCTAGTTGTCACTCAGCGAGGCCCTTTAGGCACAAATCTGACCCAAAGAAACTGGTTAGAACTCACGAGGTGTGCAACATTGGTGGCACTGAAATAGAAACCAACTCGGAAATTAAATACCTAGGCATCATTCCATCTTCTGATCTTTCCTGATCGTCTCATATCTTGATGATTTCTAAGAAAATATTCCGTCTTACCTTCTACATCAAGAAGTTAAGACATTCTGGTGTAACCCAAACCTTACTCCTACAATTCGTTAATTCTCGCATTCTGCCTGTTCTCTGGTATTTCACCCTTAGTTATTCCCGGGCTACTGAAGAATGACTGTGCCTTATTACGCAGGATGTTAAAGGTTGTCACTAGGGTAAGCAACGTGCCACTTAACCAGCTTGTTAATATTCTGGTTGACAGGCACATGGACTCATGTGAAAAATGGGCTTAATCCATTGTATCTGTCTAACTCACACCACCGTCTTCATTCACAACTCTCCCCTTGTATCTCGTCAAGCAGAATCAGAAGCCTATATAGAAAATTATATGCTCGCACTAGTAAGTACAAAATTTCAACCATACCATACCTAGCTCGTGTTCTGTGCGACAAAGAAAGCATTAGGCGTGAAACTCATAACTTATTAAATAGTCAGTAGAACAACTGGATCTCGTCTTTCCAACTCATATCATTTATAGGTACAACGTTTTCTTTCTTTCTCTTTTTCTGTTATGTGCTGCTTTGTTTCTTTCTTCTGCTTACTCCAGTAAATATGCTAGCATCTACTTTTCTAGCACCTTCAAACATTCTGTTTAATTTTGGCTTTGCTATCGACATGCCAATATGCTGTTGTCATAATGAACTGAGATTACCCATAATCTATGTAGAATTTTATTTATTGATAATGTACCAACTGGATGCAATACTGTAGTAAAATGTTGAGAATTCCATTCTGTATCACAAGTACTATTTTGAAATAAAGCAAATTATTATTATTATTATTAATATAGTGTGATGTGTCTAGTTCTTCCTTTGGAGCAGACTGTATTCTATCAGTCAGGTTTGGAATGTATGTGGCCACCATTCTAGGCAGCTCGCCATCACGGTGCACATTGATTTGATGATATTAGATGATGGTTGGAGGCAATCTGCTCCAAAGAAAGGACCGACTACACACATCACACTAGTTACTGACTAGTGTCCAATCAAATGCGGGGGGATTATATTAGAATATAGGAGTCGATCAGCAGTAGTCTTTGTCCTATGCAACTCATATTCTTTGATGTACACAAGTGTTGGACATTGTTTAAATCTTCAAGTATGGTTTGTTGGGATTTGGTTGATTGGTTACAGGATTTCATCATGAGCTGACATTGGAAAAACCTGCAGGGAGTACTGGACAGCTGTTTCTTCCTAGTTTGGCAGTCTTCATCAGTACGCACCCACCCGTAGGATTCGAACTCAGGACCTCCTGGTTACAAGGCCAGCGAGCTAGCTCGTAGACTATTAAGCCACTGGGACTCGATCCAATGGCCAAACCATGAATTCCAACTTCTGCCAATTCACGATATAGCGCAACCGCTAGCCAATGTCTTCGGTGGCGAGTATTTGTCCTCACACCAAACCTGCTGCACCCTACTGGTCACGAGTTCTGATTAGAACCCTAGGCAACTACCTACCTGAATAGGATCAGCTGTCCAGTACTCCCTGCAGGTTTTCCAATTCTTCTCTAACCAATGTCAACTCTTGATGAAATCCTGTGACCAATTGTTTTAATCTATTTCTTAATCTTCTTCTTCTTTATTTTCTACAGTTCGGTGTGATCATTGTATCTTTCGATTTGATCATCATTGTGTATGGACAAATTGTTGTATTGGTGGACAAAATCATGGACTATTTATTACCTTTCTATTCTCGTTATGCTTAATGATTGGTAATGCTATCTGGTTATGTTGTCGTATGCTTTATACATTCACAATAGTAAGTGATTTATTATTTATTATTATATCCTTTAGTTCCTAGAGGAACATAGGGCTTCAGCTGCGCACCTCCATTGCCTTCTGTTTTCTGACAACTTCTTCACCCCGATCCAAGTCTGTCCACATGCTTTCATCTCCTCTTCACATGACCTCCTCCTCCAAGTCACCCTTGCACTGACGACCAACTCGCCGCTTCCCTTTCGGGTTCCATTCGAGGGCTTGTCTAGTGATGTCACTTGATGGTTTCCTCAGAGTGTGACCAGCCAATCCCCCTCCATTTCTTCTTGCCTATTTGTTTCACAATCGGTTCCTGGTTGGTTCGTTCATCGCCATAGATCCCTGCTGCTGATCTTTTCTAGCCAGCCATCTGATCTTGAGTATTGAGCGAAGACAACTGTTGATGAAGGTTTGAAGTTTGTTTAAGATGCTCTTTATGACTCTCCAAGTCTCTGATCCATATAGTAGCACTGACTTCACATTGGAGTTGAAAATCCGGATCTTATTTTTGATGGTGAGTGCTGTTGACCTCCATACAGATTTGAGAGTAATGAAAGCTTGTCTTGCGTTTTCGATTCTCGCTTTGATATCCTCGTCAGTTCCGCCTGTAGTTGAATCGATGCTTCCCAGGTAGGTGGGTAGGTGAAGGAGTTTGTTTCTTTCAGGTTCCTCCCATTTATGCTGGCTGATTGTTGTCTGTTGTTGCTGTTGATGTTGGCTAGGAATCTTCATCATCTCTGTTTTATCTATGTTCACGTGAAGTTCCATCTTTGATGCTTCTTCTGCCAACTTGTTACTTTTCACCTGCATATCCTCCAGTTTATGGGAAATCTGTCTGTCTGTCTGGATTCAACATAGAACTTGGCACCGAAATGCACCAGTTCGAGTTGCCACGTTCCAAATAGCACACACAAAGGTAGACAAGAAGATGAGTGAAGAGAATTAATAGAGTTTGACAAGTATAAGAGTGAAACAGAATGGGTAATGGTAGAAAGGAATATGAAAGATTACAGAGACTGAATACATCTGCGCTAGCCATTGACAACGATTTTGAGCCATGTCACCTATTGTCTCCAGCCATTGATTCCTAGAGTCCCGAGGGCCCCAACCCGAAAGTCTGAATCTCCCTACCTGACTCAGTTTAACTGTCAAGGATTTCATGGATTGATGAGGCCATGTTTTTGTTTGGCCACCACTGGCTCTTTTCCAACCTTCACCTATATCAGCTAGCAAAGCCCGTCGGGGGAGGCGGTGGTAGGGCATGCGCAGCACGTGACCTAGCCATCTTAGTCTATGTAACTTTATAACCTCGTCGATTGATTTTCCCTGTTTGACTGCCCAACACTCTACGCCTAACATCAACATTACTTATCTTGTGAAACCACCTAACGTGAGACAGAGATCGCAGACATCTATGATCGAAAGCAGTCAACCTTTTCATGTCTTCAACGCGTATGGGAAATCAGACATATATCATCGGCGAAATCCAGATCCTCCAAGTCTTTTGTGTCAGTCCATTTTATGCCTGTTCCCTCGTTGGTTGCCGTTGTCTGTCGCATTATCCAGTCAATTGCAATCAGGAAGATCATTGGTGATAGTAGGCAGCCTTGTCTCACTCCTGTCCTCACTTCGAAGGCTTCCGTAAGTTTCCGTTGTGGATAACTTGGCATGCAGCATTGTCGTATAACTGTTGGATGAGGTGTATAATTGTCGATGGCCCCCCTTTGGTAGTAGCGAAGTAGTTTCCAAATCACCTCTCGATCGACGCTGTCGAAGGCCTTTTCAAAGTCGATGAAGTTGAGATAGAGAGGTGACTGCTATTCCAGGCTTTGTTCAGTGATGATCCGTAGTGTGGCGATTTGATAAATACATGACTTATTTTTCCTGAATCCAGCTTGTTCCGGTCGAAGTTTTTCATCCATACTGGCGTGTTTGATTCTCTCATGGATGATGCGGCTTAGTATTTTGCTTGCAATGGACAGTAGCATAATTCCGCGCCAGTTTTTACATTGACTTAAGTCTCCTTTCTTTGGTAGTTTGAATAAGTATCCTTTCTTCCAATCCTCGGGTACTTTGCCCTCTTTCTACACCTTCTCCAGTAGTGGTGTCATCAAGTCCGCTGTTGTCTCTGGGTCCATTTTCAATGCTTCTGCTGGGATATATCCTATTTATTTACATAAATATTAATGAAAACAATCAGTCAGTCCCTTTGATAGATTTGAATAAGGCATTTAGAAGACAAATATTATTGTGAGATGATATCGTCATTTCATAGTTTCTTTACAAGTGCTTTGTTTTACAACTAACATGGTTTATAATAATAAAATAAAATGCATGACAGTTATTTTGACAAGTTGATTACGGATTTCAGGATTTCATCATGAGCTGACATTAGTTAGAGAACCAGTGGAAAACCTGCAGGGAGTACTGGACAGCTGTTTCTTCCTAGTTTGGGACTCCTCAGTAGTACGCACCCACCGGGATTCGAACCCAGGACCTTCTGGTTACAAGGCGAGCTTGTATACCATTAAGCCACTGGGACCCGTTCCATTGGTCCTTGAATTCTAACTTCTGCCAATTCACGACATAGCGCGACCACTAGCCAATGTCGTCGGTGGCGAGTATTTATCCTCACACCCGACCCGCTGCACCCTACTGGTCACGAAGTCCTGAAACCAATCAAATCCCTACAAACCAACACTTGATTACGGATTGATATCATCAGTTAGAGAAACATAGAAAACCAGCCACAGGAAGTACTGGACAGCTGCTTCCCACATCTCCTAGTTTGGGAATCATTGGCAGCAGTGCGCAGTCAAGCTATAATAAATAAGAAAACTGATATGTATCCACATATATATATATATATATATATATATATATATATATATATGCGTATGGTGATCTCTCTTTCTGTTTGCTCGCTTAGTCTGTAACTATTTCACTTTGATGAACCTGGCTCCTTTAACAATGTATATTCCCCTTATATTATATATAATATGAGTGTTTGTTGACAGTTCGTTGCATAGTGACATATATCCATATATGGTGGTTGTTGACATGTCTGCTATATTTCGCTTTGTATATATGGATCGATACTCCATTATAATTAGCCATTCATGTTAAGACTGTCTAATGATTGTTCACACCCTTGTCTGGACATTCATATATATTTCGCTCTCACAATATTGTGTGACTACGTTGGTGTGATACCGCTTTTGCATTCTCCTTGTGTTTGGACAATAGAAGTATCATCGCAAACCTAGTGGTCTTCTGATTTCCGTCTTCCTTGCGTCAGGACTATTAAATTCTCGACCAGTACATAACAATAATTTAGCGACGAGTACATAACAATTTGGCGACGGGGAAAACTACTATTAACAACTCAGCAGCAGCAACATAACAAAAACACAGTTGTCTTTTTTGTTCAACGAAGAAATTTCTTTTTTCAACGACTTTATTTTCAAGCCAACTGTACGTACAGTCGTATTTATATAACACAGAAAAAGGTTATTAAATGGCACTAAATAATTGCTCAGTCGATATATATATTATTATATAATTGATAAGAATAACGATAATTAAAATGTTATATAAGAGGTAGAGTTGAAGTGGATAAATTACAAAATTATTAAAGATTGTTTTATAAGTGATGAATTGATATCAAAAATGTCAAGTGTTGTCTAAAAATTTAAAAAAAAATTAGAAGTATGATTACGATAAGAATGAAGATGTGGTGGAGTGAAGTGGAAAGAATTCAAGTGGTAAAATAAAATAAAAACTAGAAAGAACATTACTATAACCAAGGTAAAGAAAGAGGTTTGACAAAACGTTTTTGAACACATAATTTAGGTTTCTGTTCATGTATAGCTAAAGCTTCGAGTAGCTATGCATAAGTGAATAAAACGCAAACTTTTGGATCGATTCAATTTTGCCATGTAGATAACTTTGCAGGATGAATCACGTGGGGCTAAATGACTAGGCTCTAACAGGTAATCACAAGCAGACGACTTCGCAGTTCTACGTTCGCCTTTCAACTATTTAGTGCCACTTAATAACCTTTTTTTCTGTAATATAAATACGACTGTACAATCGGCTTGAAAATGAAGTCGTTGAAAAGAAATTTCTTCGCTGAACAAAAAACAACTATGTTTTTACTTATGAATAAATGGGTACTTCTCGTGATATAATGAATAAAATAAAATTATAATGGAGATTTGTAGCTCAGGTGGATGATTTATTTGAGAAGCTTTTATTATTGCCCTACTAGGCAACATTTATAGTGCAGACTTCAATTTGATGAAGTGAGCTTTTCGATTTCTCCATGAGTTCACTGTTAGTCACCTCTCTTGGCGGGTGACCATGAACGTCGTGATTGGTTGTTTTTGTGTGTGTTATGTTGCTGCTGCTGAGTGGTTTATAGTAGTTTTCCCCGTCGCCAAATTGTTATGTACCCGTCGCTAAATTATTGTTATGGACTGGTCGAGAATTTAATAGTCCTGACGCAAGGAAGACGGAAATCAGAAGACCACTAGGTTTGCGATGATACTTCTATTGTCCAAACACAAGGAGAATGCAAAAGTGGTATCACACCAAAGTAAGTAAAGTAAGTGACACAAATTGTGAGAGCGAAATATATATGACAAGGGTGTGAACAATCATTAGACAGTCTTAACATGAATGGCTAATTATAATGAAGTATCGATCCAAATATACATAGCGAAATATAGCAGACATGTCAACAACCACCATATATGGATATATGTCACCAAGCAACGGACTGTCAACAAACACTCATATTATATATAATATAATATAGGGGGAATATACATTGTTAAAGGAGACAGGTTCATCAAAGTGAAATAGTTACAGACTAAGCGAGCAAACAGAAAGAGAGACCAACATACACACACACATATATATATATATAAATGAATACATATCAGTGTGTTTTCACACCCTCTAGGCGGCTACTTGTATTGGTATTGATCGCTTTCCTGACCGGAAGTTTAACCCTTTGTGTGCATGAGATTTCCATCTTATCGATTGGTAAATTTTGTCTAATTCAATGCATCTATTAATTGACGATTAACTCGAACATCAGGCTTCTAGAAATTCTCTAGCATTCTTGGTGTTTCCTCTACCTAAGATTGTTTCAATACTGGTTGTCGTAGTCGAATCGATGTCCGTGGTTGTCTGTATACAGCGATGTGAGCGAGGGCATGGATGTCATTTCTTTTGATGGCTAGCTTATGATCATGGATACGAAGACGAAGAGGATGTCTACTTTGGCCAGTGTACTGTTTTTCGCAATCGTCGCTATTTATTTTGTAAATGATGTTGGTTTTATCTTCTTTCGTGGTTGAGTCTTTTGGTTGACATAAAGCTGGCTGAGTGAAGTGATTTTGTTGATTTGTGTATGACGTCAATTCCTAAAGTTTTGAAGTGTCTTGCAGTGATATCTGAAATGTCCTTTATATATGGTAGAGCGATTTTTTGTGTGTTTTACTTGGGACTTTTGATTTGGTAGGTTGGCTTGAGGGTAAATTTCTTTTGATGAAATTCCATGGATGTCCATTCTTTTGGAAGACGTCCATGGGATATCATTCTTCACTTTTCCTTGAGATAGGTAGGAGTGCTGCAATGAGTCCTGACTGGCCCTCTTGAATAGTGTTTGTATACAATTCCTTTTGTGTGTTATTGAATTGCTGTTGCCGTTGTAATTGAGTATTTGGTCTGTGTGAGTTGATTTTCGATAAATTTGACTTTCTAATTTTCCTGTGGTTGTTCGCTTGACTAAGACGTCTAAAAATAGGATTTTGTTTTCGAATTCCTCTTCTCTTGTGAATTTGATGTCATTGAAAACGCGGTTTATTAAAACCTCACTTCATCAAATTGAAGTATGCACCGAAGTGATGTTGCCTAGTAGGGCAATGAAAGCTTCGCAAATGAACCATCCAGTCTCTCTCCGTTGTCAACATAGAACTTCACACCGATATGCAGCAGTTCAAGTCGCCACACTCCATGTATCACACAAAGCAACAGAAGAAAGTAGAAAAAATACATAATAGAGACAATAGACAGGCAAATGAGAGAAAAGGAATAGTAATGACGAAGTACAATATAGTTTTAGTGGGTATTATAAGCCACAAGGAGCGGATGAATCTGCGCCAGCCATCATGGAGAACGATAAGTTTGAGCCTTCAATGGGTTTTACCGTCCTGAGTACCCCAACCAGGAAGCCAGTCTACACTTTCTTACGTGACTGACTTAAACTAACTGTTGTGGATTTTATTGACTCATTAAGCCAAGTTTTCGTTTGAACACCACTGGCTCTTTTCCGACCTGACCCTATGTCAGCTAACATCGTCCGTCGAGGAAGGCTCTGGCTAGGCGAGACATGAGTAACAAATGTCCTAACTATCTCAGTCGATGTAGCTTCACGGCCTCATTGATTCATTTCCCCTCCAACTTACCTAGCACTCGACTCCTTACCTCACTATTGCTCACCCTATCATACCATCACTTAACACGGGAGATAGAACGCAGCCACCTATGATCAAAGACAACTAACCAGTCTATCATGTCTTCCACTCTCATTGGTCAGGGCTCACAGTTATAAAGGGGGATGGAGCGGACTGCTGAGCAGTTCACACCACACGCCCTTTGGTCGACAGCCAGACAGCCGGACATCACTTCTTCGTCAGAGGCTGCGTAAACTTGTATATGCCAAACAAGCCTTCTGTATCCCTGCTGAGATTTCGTCAGCGATCAACTAATGAACCGTTCACCTCAGGGTTACTAATTCTTTGAAAAATGTAGACTTTTAATATTAATTTATTTATTCATTCATTTTGTAGCACGAGAATTTATGGCAAGCACATTACTTGGATGAATATGATCAAACGCATCCAATGGATTGGCTTACATTATCACAGGTGAGTCTATTTTTTCTTATGAACCGATCAATTTTCATGTGTTGATTTGCAATGATTTGATTGATTCCTAGTTAGATCATGAACTGTGACTCTGAAGCAGTACGCATTCATGATCAAACTCATAGACAATTGAACCCAGCATCTTCAGATTACGAGCCGGGTCCGTAGACTATATAACCACTGGGGGTGGAATACAATGACCCATTGATTGTAACTTCTAACAGTTTGCGATGAGTGTAGCATTATCTTTAGTCACGGTCATCGTCAAGTATCTACTCCCTGAGTCAGTCAGGAAGGCAATGTTACCTGACATAAGGTTAGGTTGGAGAAGAGCCAGTGCTGGTCAAACCAAAATACTACTTCATCAGTCAGTGAAATCCACAACAGTTAGTTTAAGTCAGTCACGTAAGAAAGTGTAGACTGGCTTCCTGGTTGGGGTCCTCGGGACGGTAAAAACCAATGGCTGGGGACAGTCGGTGATACGGCTCAAACTCATCGTTCTCCGTGATGGCTGGTGCAGATTCATCCACTCCTTGTGACTTATGATTTCAAATGAAACTATATTGTTTTTTCATTATTATAGCTTGATTCCATACCGTATTTTTGGTCCAAGTATGGAATTTTCAGCATGCTATATTGGTAGCCCAAAGTTTGCAGGCCAACCATTGATATCAGGTGTGCGTGGGCAGAGAATCGAACCCCGCGCTATGTGCATGGTCGGCGAGAGTCCCCACCGCTGTACCACCGGTTACTATTCTTTTTGCCTTATATCTCTGTTTACTGTCTGTATTTTACATTTCTTTTTACTTTCTTCTTTTGCTTTGTGTGCTACATGGAAGCAGAGTGGGAGCTCGAACTGCTGCACACCTGTGCAAGGTTCTATGTTGAGACCGGTCAGTCAGTCAGTAGTGTATAGTAGCTTCATTTTTAAGTAGTGGTTTGCAGGAATGTAACTGATTTATGAAAGTTTGAGAGAGTTGTAGGAGTCATATTAATTGATAATGCATTAAATTATTCCGTGCGGGAAGGATTTGAAAGAGGCTACTTCATTCACTCACTTATCTAGCTGGGGAGCATTGTCTCAACTACAGGACGTCGGAACGGACGAGGATGTCAAATAGAGCGAGAATCGGGAAGCCGAGAAACACATTCACTCATCAACCTGAATTCAATCTGGAAATCTTCTTCACTCAGCCAGCATCAACAACAAAATTCGTTCGGATTTGCAATACAAACAACGTGAAGTCAGTCAGTTCTTCTATACGGATCAGAAACTTGGCGGGCGGGTCACAAAGAATATTTCCAACAGGCTAAGCCAGACCTTCATTAACAACTGTCTTCGTTGGATCTATACTGAAGATCAATCAGATGGCCGGGACGGAAACAATCACCAACTATTGGAAACTATGGGAAACAAGCAGAACAAGAACCAATCGCCAACCAACAAATATACAGGAGAAAGTGGATGGAGATGGATTGAACACTCGTTGAGGAGGCCGGTTGGTGACATCGCGCTAGCGTCAGGCCATTGCTCGAGTGGAACCTGTAAGGGAAATGGCGAGTGGGATGTCAGTGCAAAGGTGACATGGAGGAGATCGTGTGAAGGGGCGTTGAAACAGTATGGACTAACTAACATGGATGCAGGTTGAAAAGTACAGCAGAAGCAAGACAGAAGTGGCAAGTGGAGATGTGCAGTTGAAGCCCTATGTTCCACTAGGAACCCAAAGGAACAATAATAAATAATAATTCAATTAATCTGTAGCACGTTTGTGATATTAATTTGTTTCCAACTATCGATTCCGAGAGTTTCGAGGACTTTTTCGCCGGATAATCAACATCCTACTGCGTGACTCGGTTCATGCTTTCATGCATTGGTGTTATATTTTCATCCGACTAACACTAATTAGTAACTCTCCATCTGGAATTTCTCTTTGATGAAGATGGTGACTTGTTATGAGAAACTCGAGTCGTAGACGTTTTAGTCGATGGAGCTTCATAGTTTTATCGATTGACCTTCCTTTCCTATCATCATCATCTCTTACGAAATTTGTCCGCCAAAGAACAGCAGGTAAACAAAGACATCTTTTAAATGAGAAAAATAGAATTTTTATAAAGTCTTTTTCCATAGTGTCAGATCTGTGAAGCAGAATGTGACAAACGTCTGCGCAATAGACGCTTCGGATGCCACACCTATGCATACATAAACACTGACGGTAGTTGGTGAATGTCAGACGAACTTCAGTAATTGTCACATCTTTATATTAATAGACAGAAGACTAGTAGCTCAGCGAAGAGTCTCTTTTCGGCGGCGGCGGCGGCGAATTCATTTTCATAGATGTACTATCACAAATATATATGGCTGGTTATTTTGTATGTGTGTGTGTGTACATTAAATTTGTCAAACGAAAATACAATTAGTAAGTTCAGATGAATTGGATGTTGATATAAGAGGGTAGTGTAACATAAGTGATGAGTTGTCATAAATGATTGTTAGAGAAGAGTTGCGTAATAACAACGTGAATAGTTTGATGAAAGAGTTGTGTTCAGGGTGTACATGGAAACAAGATAACATACATAATTACGCAAAGGTTTTAAGTAGTTAGAAAAATAAGCATGCAAACAAAAGTTAAGTCAAATCAACAGAGTTGTTACCATGAGAGTATTATATTATTGTTATTATTTATTATTATTATTATTATATCCTTTAATTCTTAGAGGAACATAAGGCTTCAGCTGCACGTCTCCATTGCCTTCTGTTTTCTACCAACTTTTCACCTCGCTCCAAGTCTTCCCACACGCTTTCGTCTCCTCCTCGCATGACCTCGTCCAAGTCACCCTTGCACTGACGATCAACTCGCCGCTTCCCATTCGGTCGGGTTCCACTCGGGCGATGGCTTGTCTAGTAATGTCACTTGATGGTTTCCTCAGACTATGGCCAGCCAATCCATGTCCATTTCTTCCTGCCTATTTGTTCCTGCTGTGTTGGTTCGCTCATTGCCAGAGATCCGTGTTGCTGATCTTTTCTGGCCGGCCATCTGATCTTGAGTATTGGGCGAAGACAACTGTTAATGAAGGTCTGAAGTTTGTTTGAGATACTCTTTATGACGGGCTAGCCAAGTCTCTGATTCGTATAGTAAGAAGCACTGACTGACTTCACATTGGAGTTGAAAATCTTGATGTTAATTTTGATGCTGAGTGCTGAGTGTTTTCCTCCACACAGACTTGAGAGTAATGAAAGCTTGTCCTGCTTTTCCGATTCTGGCTTTGATATCCGTGGATTCCGTATCTTTTGATCTCGTTTGCGATCTGGGCAGCTTTGCCAATCTCGTACATAGTGCGGACGTTCCATGTCCCCACACAGACTTTTTCTTTTGGTGCAAAGGAATTCATCGTGCTGAAGTTTCTGTAGCAACTTCCTTCACAGGGTGGTGTTGCTAGCCTCACGCCTGAGAAAGAAATTGTTACATTAAGATAAAGTTTAGAGAGAAGCGACCTTGTGGGTTGCTTCCCTTAAAATCGGAAAATAAGGGATAAAACAATGAGAACAACACCAGCAAAAGGCGACAACAACAATACAATACAACAACATGCAATACAGTTAAGCACAGTTAACTAAAATGATACCAAAACCATAGACTCACTGACTTGGGCCAACTTCAACATATTAATCCAACAATATATTCAATTACAGATATGAGTTTATGTTGAAAGGTCACAAAATGCCAAACAGTTGGTTATAGGTATTAGTAGTCAACAAGATTATATCCACAGATTCAGTGTTCGAAAGGTAAATAATTGTAATAATTTTCCACAAACTCTTGGCATGAAATTCTACAGAAACAAGAGTTTTTATGTAACTAGGTAAATGTAGTGTAGTAATCGAAAAGCGCGCCAGAAGTAGGTCCACCATGAAAGTACAAGTGGTTGAATAACTTTCTTTTGTATGCATAGTTCTGGTTCTTCCAACTGAATGGCCAGCTAGGGCTTCTGCAATGCAAAGAAGGCGGAAATGTATTGTCTTTGGTGTAGGTTGTTCTTCACTTTGTAGATTACATTAAAGCAGGAGACGTTTGTTGAAATGGAATGACCAGTGTTGGTGACGAGATGTTCGATTATTTCACTCCTTATACAGCTATGTTGGATAGTCGTCTTTGACCCTTTTCGATGACAGGAAGCGCGTGAAACTGAATATACTCGATGAATTATAGTCTGTCTGTCTGTCTGGATTCAACATATAACTTGGCACCGAAGTGCACCAGTTCGAGTTGCCACCTTCCAAATAGCACACAAAGGTAGACAAGAAGATGAGTGAAGAGAATCAATAGAGTTTGACAAGTATAAGAGTGAAACAGAATGGGTAATGGTAGAAAGGAAAATGAAAGATTACAGAGACTGAGTACATCTGCGCTAGCCATTGACAACGATTTTGAGCCATGTCACCTATTGTCTCCAGCCATTGATTCCTAGAGTCCCGAGGGCCCCAACCCGGGAGTCTGCATCTCCCTACCTGACTCAATTTAACTGTCAAGGATTTCATGGATTGATGAGGCCATGTTTTTGTTTGGCCACCACTGGCTCTTTTCCAACCTTCACCTATATCAGCTGGTAATGTCCGTCGGGGGAGGCGATGGTTAGGCATGCGCAGCACGTGACCTAGCCATCTTAGTCTATGTAAATTTATAGCCTTGTCGATCGGTTTTCCCTCTTTGCCTGCCCAACACTCTACGCCTAACGTCAACATTACTTACCTTGTGAAACCACCTAACGTGAGACAGAGATCGCAGACATCTATGATCGAAAGCAGTCAACCTTTTCATGTCTTCAACGCGTATTGGCCATGTTTGAGAGCCATAGAGAAGGACGGAGCGAACTGATGAGCAGTACACACGTCTCTTGGTTGATAACCGGATGTCACGCCTACGCCAGAGATGGTGTAAGTCAGCGAAAGCAGCTCGAGCTTTTCGGATCCGTGCTGATATTTCGTCGCCAATCAGTCCGTT